CTCTATTACTAGTCTCTCTCTCTCTCTCTCTCTCTCTCTCTCTCTCTCACACACACACACACACACACACATATGAACCCAAAGCATATCCCAGAACATAGAGAACTTCATAAGCTATCCAAAAATTCAAGAATCACATGATTGGAAATCCCAATAGAAAGTTATGAGCAGAATACTAAGAGATTATAAATACAAATTAATTCCATGCATAGTCTCACAATCATTTCCCCACATGATTCACACACATTTCACATAAGTTTGACATATGTCTCAGGTAGGTGGTTCCTAGTGTTTCAAACACATTTCACACATTTTTCCAAGTCCACATGATTTCTGCTTCCAAAGTGTTTTGGTCAGAAGCTGGCTTTCCATCCCCATGGTGCTACAGGTAACTACAAATTACACCTTGAACAATTCAAAACTTTCCAAATTCATCCTCACTCTAAGAGGAAATGATGGTTTACGGTATTTTACTCTGTTTCTCTCATCCTTTCGTCCAAACATGCCTTTCGTCCAAATTCATGTTTCTTACCATCCCTTTAGAGCAAACCGCCATTCAAATATCCCCATATGACAATCTAGCCAAATCCCCTATCGGATTGCCAGCAGGCCGAGCACACATAGGCACCATAGAGGGACTCTTTTTTCAAGGGATGAGAAGGGAATACCAGCAGGTAAATAGCTGTTTTTTAGAGCTAGGAATACCCCCATAAGAAATCAAGTAGCTAAGGAAATACCCCCGTACCACCTGTGAACTTGCAATGTAGGAAAAGATGCCACATAATTTTTGCATTAACTTTGCACAGGTACCACTTCAGTAACACCATGCCATAATTTTGGAGATGGTCCATTTTAAGAAACTTAACAATTGCTAACCAGCCATGACTCTGGTCTTTGGTGTTGCTGAGATGGAGCAGACCCTTCTCAATGCCACATTGACTACTTCTCTCCCCCTAATCTCATTATAAAATGGCTTCAAAGAGAACTCATCTTGTGGTTCAGGGATCCAGATCATTGTATCTTCTCCACTGCTTCACTTCTTGAAGCAATGACGTTACTTCCTTGAAGGATTCAATCTCCCGTTCTCTAGGATTTCGCCCAAGATTTATATTCCATATTATGGGACCCCAACTTTCATAGGCTTCAAATACATTGATTTCCTTATTCATTGCTATGGCAAACAGATTTTGGAAGGAAGCTTTTAGCTTCTTACTACATATACCCATACGTTGTTCCAAAGGGCGGCTGCCTACTTTGCCCAACATGAATCTAATATGCTGGCCTAAAAGCTCATGAACATAGTTGTTGTGATTGGAAGCTGGAATGGTACCAGGATCGGGATCGTGAAATGCTAGAAGATCCCTATAGTTGGGAACGCCGCTTGTACAATGCATATTTTAGGAATTGAGATTCCCAAATATTAGGGATCGAGATTCCAACCTCTTGGGGATCTTGATCCCAACTTTTCCATAGATGCCTCTGTCCATCTCCCAGCCTACACCACCATTTGCCCAATAACAAATGGATAAATTCAAAGGCAAGTTGAGAGTTTGACCAATGCAAAGGAAGCCTTATGTTGACCATCTGATTTCTTGCAAAGGAAGTTTCATTGCAAACTCTTGATTTGAGAAGCTATGTTGAGAGTTTGACCAATGCAATAGAATACAAAGGGACATTAGAAAGGGAAGTTTTAATAAGTGTGATCCTGCCACCTAATGATAGGTAGCATCTTTTCCATTTTGCTAGCTTCCGCTGGACTTGGTCAATCACATGGCTCCACTGATGGTTCCAGGGCTCTTGAATATAGAGGCAGGCCCAATTATTTTGATGACAATCTTTCAGTTCCATACCAAGATGAGCTGTGAAAGCTGAGACTCCATCCCTATGCCCATGAGCATGGTTTTTCTCAAAATGGTTCAGCAGCAAAAAGTCGCTTCGAAGCATTCCAAAAAAAACAGAAGATTATCTACTTAAGCAGCAGTGGACTCACAGAAGACTAGGATGTCTGCATACTGTAAATGAGAGATTGAAGGCCCCAGTCTTGAGCTTGGAAACTACACTAGGCTTCTACTGAAAGCATCAGCAATAATGGTGAATAAGAAGGGTGACAATAGGTCACCTTGTCCCAACCTTCTCGATCTGGGAAAGAATCCACAAGGGACTCCATTAATTAGAGCACTAAAAAATTCTGTAGAGATGCATGCTGCAATCCATCTCGATCTTGATACAAAACCCAATTTTTCCATAACATTTTCCAAAACCATCCAATTGACTCAGGTTCATCCCTTCAGCCTCAATGTTATATAGCCCACACCTTCTTTCTCTCAACTTCATCCTTTGACATTCACGTCTCTTCTCACCTAGGTTTTCTTTGACTTCCCAATGTCTTCAAATTATGCGGTTTCTCTCTATCATAGCACTATCAACCATTAGTTATAATTACAAACCACATATCCCAAACAATAGACAACAGAAGTGGCCATGGGGGGTCGAAAGTGCACTTATCAGGAAGCATGCTTTTGAAGTAGGAGAAATTCAAACTCCGAAAAATAAATGAACGAGTGTTTGAAAGCTTGCCTATCGACTCACATTCAACCAGGTTACACAGGCTCTACAGCTTGCCAAGGATGGAATAGGTACGTATATGTACCCTGTATATTACTCCGGATCTAGAAAGTATCATAACAACTCGCCAGAATACTGCACAAACTCGGGATGACTCGCCGTAGTTTGTACAGTACTCAGGCAAGTCACTACAGCACTTACCAGAGTACTGTTCGTGTCAATTAAAAGAAGAAGGGGGATTTGGACAATCTAGGTTATGTGATTTTGAGCCAAATTTGTGCACTTGGCAAGACATTTGCCTATCTATCTATTAGAAGCATTAAAATTGAAAAGAAAAAAATAGATGATTTGATGGCTTTGAGAGATTGAAAAATTCAGTCAAGTTTTTGCCAGATTTCAAAAAATTGCAAATTCCTCGCAATGAATGGCCAATCTTTGATGAAATTTGACCCCCAAGCTTTTTTTTATATCTTCATCCAACCATAGGCTTGATTTTAACATATGAAAACAAAAGGATTTGAGAGTTTCAACATTAAATTTACTATTTATCCAAATAAGTCAAGAGCTTGGATCTCCTAGATCCAACGTTCCAAACTCAGAACCCAAATTTAGTCTAGAGGTTTCGATAGGGGTTGTGTGAGGAAGCTTTAATAAGGATTTGAGCCTTCAATTCATAGTTGTAGGAAACGCCTAGGAACCCGAATCGTTTCAGGAACCGGAATCGCATAATAGCGCCTGGCCAGAAGTTTTCCATTGTAGGAATCGTTGTCCGTACAATAGGAATTTTTGGGAACGAGATTCCTAATTTTCAGGAATCGTGTATCGATCAGAATAGGTCCAAGTTTCATCCACATATGGAATCGAGATTCCAGCCTCCTTGGAATCGAGATTCCCATTCCCCCAGGTTCGACACTCCAAGTGTTAAGTTTCTCTAATACACAGAATTGACTTTCCGACATATGCGGAATCAAGTTTCCGATATACACGAAATCGAGTTTCCGATATACGTGGTATCGAGATATAAGCGGAATCGAGTTTCCATCATTTATGGAATCTTGCTTCTAACATATT